TCCACGACCTCATCATCGGACCACGGGATTTCTTTTGACGTTTCCATTCTGATTTTGTTCTTTCCAAAGCAGCAATCATCGGTGTAATTTGAATAACTTCACTGTCCCGAGCGGAATTCTCATCATCCATGTCAGTATTGACCTCAATCCGAGACTTTCTGGTAATAGGATCTCCAGTGTTCGGGATTGGAAACATAAAATGAACCAACCATTCTGACGCGACCTGTCTCTCCACCATCTATTGTACACACAGTTCATTTCATTTCATTGATTGATTAATTGATTGATTGATTGATAGGTTTTACGTCCGCTTCACTACCGAGTAGTTCGGTTATTTCACATATGTCTCGGCCTTTTATAGAGGAGAGGAGGAGGAGGAGTCAAGTAGCTTGAACAGCAGCAGCAGCAGCAACAGCAGCAGCAACTTCTGAGGGATTGCAGAAAATGTTAGATGCATTATTACTTTATACAAATAAATAGAATCTTACGGTTAATACTTCTAAAACCAAGGTGATGGTTTTCCGTAACGGAGGTAAATTAAGAGAAGAAGATAAGTGGTACTTTGATAGATGTGTATTAGATATTGTAGATGTATTTAATTACCTGGGAATATTAATGATTTATAATGGTAAATTCATAAAGGATTCTACAAAAAGAAAATCGCTGAACAAGGAAGAAAAGCATAGACATACTGCTATTCAGCTTCATGTTTTCGATACATATGTTTGTAGTATTTTTAGTTATGGAGTGGAAGTTTGGGGCTTTCATAAGCACCAGATATAGAGAAAAAATACATTTAAGGTAACATACACGATGCATTCATCGTTGTGATAGGGAAACCTACTGGTTTGCAGATTAACGAATTATACCGGGATAGTAAAACAGTAAACTATTATAACTTTTAAGAGAAATTTTGTAAGCTGTAATGTTGACAACACGATATTTGTTCATAGGTGGTGGGCACGTCTATCAAAAAAAAATTGAATATATAAAACTAGAAAGGTGAGGAACTCAGCCCCTACCAGCGGCTGGCAAAATTGAGGTAATTTTGTTTGAAGTGTCACAGAAATTTTATCCGCTAAAATCCTTCCCACAGCGTAGTCTCGATCGAAAGTAGGGACATTAATCTTTAAATAACACCCATTATATATCTTCAAAACAGTGTAGTTATTTCGTAAGCAGTTTCGAAGCTCGCGAAAATCACCGATTTGTGTTACCTCGGACACGATCCGGAACATTTTTTCGAAACAAATTCTTCATTCGGTACACAGAATAGCGGACGACGTAACATTAATAAACCATTGTATACTCAAAGATAAGGTCAAAACAAACTTGCTTACTTGTTTTACGCACCACTAAATTTCTCCTCTCGTGTCCCTCAAGTATTTTCTCCGCAAGATTTCACATCAGCCCTCCTTCGTCCACCATCTTGGAGAATTTTATAATATGCAAGCTGATTGGTCGAGCTATTTTCGTCTATTTTTAACCGGCCGTTAGACCAATCAGCTTGCGTGTTACATATTATAAAATTCTCCAAGATGGTGGACGAAGGAGGGCTGAATGTGAAATCTTGCGGAGAAAATACTTGAGGGACACGAGAGGAGAAATTTAGTGGTGCGTAAAACAAGTAAGCAAGTTTGTTTTGACCTTATCTTTGAGTATACAATGGTTTATTAATGTTACGTCGTCCGCTATTCTGTGTACCGAATGAAGAATTTGTTTCGAAAAAATGTTCCGGATCGTGTCCGAGGTAACACAAATCGGTGATTTTTGCAAGCTTCGAAACTGCTTACGAAATAACTACACTGTTTTGAAGATATATAATGGGTGTTATTTAAAGATTAATGTCCCTACTTTCGATCGAGACTACGCTGTGGGAAGGATTTTAGCGGATAAAATTTCTGTGACACTTCAAACAAAATTACCTCAATTTATAATTTATATAAGGATTGACCTTCATTTTGACGGCGTATACGGTAGTATGAACGCAGTGTTGGCAACGAACATAATTGTTATGGAGCGCTAACGCGCACCATAAAATATGTTCGTTGCCAACTGCGTTCATACTACCGTATACGCCGTCAAAATGAAGGTCAATCCTTATATAAATTAATTAATAAATAAAGATGGAACCGAGGGAAAATATTACATCACCACAAAAATGGATGCGATACTACAGTAAATCTCGGGGAGAGTAGACGTATACCATGTATGCCATAAGTCGTTATGTCTGTCGTCAGACTAAGTGATGTAGGCCTAAGTACACGGTAGTTAAATTGATACACAGATATGCAGTGTATTAAAATTTAATTTATTAAATAAGGTTATTAAAAATGGTAAATATATATAATACCATAACAAACTATCACCTGTAAAATCTGCTATAAAATGACAAATTTTGGAAATTACTTAAAAAACGCCAAAAGCCCAAATGCCAAATGTAGCTTGTTAAAATAAATAAACATTACAAGGGAATACCAAAGTTTCAACATGACAACAAAACGGTACTTCGAACTAAAAATTAATTAAGTACATGGAGAATACAACCAACTGTTCGGAAATATTAAACGTCTTTGTGACATTACTCGCCATGTAAACCTTATCAAATCTAAGTAATGTGATGTTCACAAAGAGCAAGAAATAGGGAAGTGGCAACTTAGCAACAAAGTCCACGAATCGGAATAACCAAAACCTATAACCTGGATGTCACACAAATATATCTAATATTTTCAATTGAGATGATGGTGGTGGTGACCTTAACAGTCGTCGGCAATGGTCTTCATCAACTTGAGTCTTCGGGGAACTGGTGTCCTAACGTTGTCCGTCAGCAGTCGATATCTATCACGGAAGTTAGGAGGTTTATTAATAATAAATCGAATTCGTGGTTCTTATATATACCCCTTTATCACAACCTAGTTCGTAGGTCGTCTCAAAGCGGTTCACAAATTGTTATCCGTGGTTATAGGGCCTTTGCAAGCAGCAGGTATCTTTCTCAACTCCATGGGGAGCATACAGCCGGAGCTGCCATTTCGGCGCTACAGCTAGCATTCAACAAGTCTACATGTAGCACTGCCTAACCACGTACTCATTTACAGCTGAGTAGACTGGAACAAGCGGAGTAAAGTATCCTGCTCAAAGATACAACACATGTATGTGGCAAGCTCTCATTACATAACTAGTTAATCATCTAGTATAGATTATTCTTAATTTATTTACTTAATGAAATAGAATACTTACTAGAATATCAAAGTGACTAGCGTCCATGTGTTTAGCAGTTTTGAATCATTCATATATTAAGTACTTGTAAGTTTGTGCTAATTCCCTGATCCGGTATTGTTCCTTAAAGTAACACCATCATTTAAACAACTTGTCATCATTCCATTTCAATAATATTAACCACATGCTAAAAAAATTGTCATCATTCCATTTCAATAATATTAACAACATGCTAAAACAACTTGTCATCATTCCATTTCAATAATATTAACCATATGCTAAAACAACGTGTCATCATTCCATTTCAATAATATAAACCACGTGCTAAAACAACTTGTTATCATTCCATTTCAATAATATTAACCACATGCTAAAACAACTTGCTATCATTCTATTTCAATAATATTAACCACATGCTAAAAAAATTGTCATCATTCCATTTCAATAATATAAACCACGTGCTAAAACAACGTGTCATCATTCCATTTCAATAATATTAACCACATGCTAAAACAACTTGCTAAGTGTACTAAATGGCTTTGGACTATTTTATGATTTATAGTAGAGAACATTTAGGTGGATCACTAGTTAAATTTATAGAGGAACCCCTCCTATGTTAGTGGAATCAACCAAGGACACAGTTAGGATGTGTAGAGGAACCCCTCCTCTGTGAGGGAAATCTACCGAGGACACGTTAACATTATATTATGAAAGTTGCTGGTTGACGATTGATTTTATCACTGAAATAGAACAATATAACACAAAGATATATACTCAATAAATATATAATTTATTCATAAAAATACAGCTATATTAAAAAAAAGTTTTATAAAGTCAATTGATAATAAATATAAATATTATTACAATTTCAATATGGCAAAAAGATGAATAAAAAATAAAACATAAACATGTACTGACAAAATTTCCGTAACCATACAATACCATGTACTGACAAAGTCCCATACCCATACAATACCGTGTACTGACAAAGTCCCATACCCATACAATACCGTGTACTGACAAAGTCCCATACCCATACAATACCGTG